CCATTAGAATCTTAACTTCACATAGTTTGAAAGATAAAGAAATGAGTTCATTTATAAGTGGGAATTGATTCACTGAATATAACAATACTTTAATTAACTGAGCTGAATTAAGGTTAGTGGTTCTCTGTTTTGTGTCCATCTCCAAACCATTCACATGTAAACATTCCCATCAGAGGCCAGCAGTTGGGTAAGATATGAATCCCAAGACCACTACTTATTTACTATAGTCTCGGACAATAAATGATTAAGAAAGTAATCTAAGCAGATCTGGGACTGAAATCCAAGGTACTACATACCAAGATATAAAACCTCGTAACAAGAAATTTTATCATAGGGAAATGCATCAGAACTACTTATATGGAACATTGGGAGCATAGCCACCTCCTCCTAGGGATCAATATCTTTAAGAAAAACACTTGATTCAGCCTAATGCAAACTTAGGGAGACTGACGAGCAACTGGGAGAGTCTCATTTCTTAAAACTACACAACAATCTTCATTAAATTTATTATAAAATCCATGGCCATTATAAAACCTATAAATAGTATAAAGACAGAAAGGAAATACAGAAATAAAAGGAGTATCCTCTTTCCTTATACATCTAATTTTACTCCCCCCAGATAATCACTTTTGATGAATTTGTGTAATTTCTTTTGGATATCACATGGTTTAAAACATATACAATTTTAAAAAGAAAAAGGATCAACATATCCATAATTTTCTGAGAACTTTAATTTTTCAAATAGCCATAAAGTATTAACCCTCATTTTTGAGGCTAAAAGGAAATGGATAAACCTGAAAATGCCCATTTTCTGAGACTATCTCAATAATAACATTTCAAATAAATCCAGAGATTCAAACATATGTATTGCCCAAAGGGGACTGTATAAACATGTTCACTGCAGCATGGTTTATAACAGACAAATATGGAGAAAATTTAAAATGTTCCTCAATAGGAGAGTGGAATAAGATATATCCCTATGTCAGAATATTATACTATAGTAAAAGGAATAAATTACTACATTTATATGTAATGGGAGAGACTGACCTCAAAAACCTAATGCTGAATTTCAAAATGTAAAACAATACATAAGGCAAGACACATTATATGGTTTTTAAATGTATAATGTTATTTTGTGTCTATGATTATAGATATAAAAATGTGGTAAAAACAGAAAAATGTGGTATGGAAATATATATACCAAATTCATGATTATGGTTGCTTCTGGAAAGTGAAAGTAATCAGAATCTCTTCCTATTACACTAGGGTAAGGAAACTATGAGGACTTCATCTTTAGCTGTAATGTTATTTGCTTAATAATAAAAAATTTAAAAATGTTTAAATAATTATGGCAAAATAGTAACATTAATTTTGAGTGGTTAAAACAGATGAAGAGTTAACGTTAACAGGCCTGACTATCCTTTGAAAAAGTTTGGCTCTTGGCTGTCATCTGGAAACATAGATTTCAAAAGGCTTCCTACCACCCTAACAGGTAAGAATGGCTCATAGTGCCTAAACTATACAAATATCCAGTTTCCTTCTGGGAGTTTAAATTTTTGGTATGTGCTAGGCAGAGGGTTCTTGTGACTAGCCACCAAGTTTCTAATGAACTTCCCAGGAGACAACATTTCAGATATGTTGTTACAACTTGTTGCTGGGGAAACTGAGTATATTTCTTTCCATTAGGAAAGAAACATTAGGAACTTTTGCCTGGTTTCCTCCATACTTTGCCTCATGAGTCTTTTTCCTTTTGCTATAATAAATCACAGCCAAGAGTACGACTATATGCTGTGTTCTATAAGTCTTCCTAGTGAATCGTGGAACCTGAGGGTAATCTTGGGGACCTCGGACTCAGGATGTTTTGTTTTGCTTTTTTTTTTTGTGGTGGTGGGGGGAGGGGTTCATTTACAATATAGAGTAAATGTGAAGGAGAATGAGAGACAGAAAAGAGAGAAGAGGGGAGGGAGAGAAAGGGAATGACTACTTTGAACTCTCAATAATTCCTAGCCTTTTCCTTTCTTATGAGACATTTAAGCAGACATCACCTTCTCTACCCATTCCCAAGTTATTCCTTGCCCCAAAGAAAGCTGACTACAGAAGATACCTCATTTGTTGCAGGCATTCCACAGCATATTCCCGCACATACTGATCTGGATAGTTGAAATCTAGAAGCTCCAGAGCCTCCCGGGGGGGCAGTTTAGGCCAAATCTGTAGCAGTGCCTGAAGCTGTTTAAAAATTAAAACTGGTTCAGAAATTATAGGGGGCGGGGGGGAAGTAATTTATTTTTTCTTGGCATATAGGAGCAGAGATGGGTCAAAAGAAAGAAGAAGCATACTTGTAATTATGGAGGCCTCCGAAAATCCATTCCTGAAAATATGGATTAATAAAAATTGTCTTAGTTGAAATATTATGATGCGCTAAATATATAATTCTATGATCATTAACCATTAAATAATTTTTATAAGGAAAGAGAGAGAAAGAGCGCATGCACATAAGCACGTGGGCAAAATGATAAAGGAATACTTAAAGGTAAAACTCAAAGTACAAAATATAAGCTATATGGCTCAAATTAATGACAGGCAATTTACATATAAAGTTCATTAACAACAACATAAAATTATCTTAAGAGTTTACTTTTAGCTCTTAATATTTTAAGAGAATCTATCACTTAACAGAACTTTTAATTGACCATAAATTTAAAACCTTTAAATCATAAGTAACCCATTAGAAATAAATAGTACCTAATTGTTTATTTTCTATAAACAAGAAAATACAGGCAGTCTCCTATTTACAGATGCCATATAGAAATGATCTAGACATAGGATAAAAAAAGAATCCTTGGGGAGATGAGCTTGGACTGCAATTGGAGGGTGGATTTTGGTACACACGGCTACATCTTTGGAAACCCTAGTCCAGAGAGCTCAAATCTCTTGAGCTTTTGTGTGAGACGTGGCTTTGAGATTTAAATAAAAATAGTTTACATTTTATCTGCCTCCCATCAGAGCAGTGAGACTATGCTGATAGCATGCACTCTTATCAGGGATGGTAAGTGAAAAGAAAATTGATTATGGAGAAGAGAGAAAAAAAAAGAAGAAGAAAAAAGATAATTATAATTTGTAGCCCTCCCAGGTTCAACCCTGACAAAATTTTATTCCTTAATATTTGATTCACCTTGTCTGGTTTTCTTGGTTATCACTGACATTGAATCCAAGGAAGATACTCAAAATGTATACAAGGTCAGAGTTACAAAAATATGGCAAATAGATGGCAATGATTGGAGGGCTTTCTCTCAACTGACTGCTCAAAGTCATGTTTCAAAGTCATGTAGCATGGCCTGTTAGTATCTGCTAGCTGCCTTGTGTATGTCAGGTATAAGCCATGGGTGTGAAAATTTTATTTATTGAGCTTTTGTGTGAAACTTGGGCTTTAAGAATTAAGTAAAACTAGTTTATTATTTTAATATTACATATTATTCTGCCCTTCCTTATGTCAAGTGCCACAAAAAAGTCAATAATATTTGAATGTTACTGACTAGCAGCTCAGTTAAAAGGTATTTTCTTGTAACAAGTTTTGAAGTTCACTAAGGAACTTTTATAGAAACACAGCATTTTAATAAGTTTTTAAAATTTGATTCCATTGCCATTATTAGTATCTATTTATATAAACTGCTATCATAAATGTAAAATATATTTCAATTTAAGTAAATTACATCAAGGTTATTCAACAAATACATTAAAATGTTAGTTTTTTAATTTTAACTTTTACCTTAAATTTTAATTGTTCTTAAACTTGCATTGAATAAAGAAAGCTTTATACTTGCTCTTTTTATGTATAAAGCACACATACATACAGTACATAAAGTGTACATACAGTACAGTACACTTGTCTGTGGTATCAGAATCTCATGTGGATGGGACTATTAGGGGGAAAAATGTCTAAAAAGCCTTCTTCTAAGGATAATAATGAAAAAAGATTTAGAAATACTGGTATAAAGATATGAAACACCTACCTACCTTACCCCACTTTTTCTCATTGATGGGGCCCCCTCCCTGCCTTCCCCAAGGCCCTAATGAACCAGCAGTCCTCATTATGGATAGAGGAGTTAGTGGGGACCATTTTCTGAGGGTCTAAAAGAATAATAAAAGAACTCTTAGCAACTTCAGTTAACACTTGAAATACACTGCTTCACAGAAAAAATATTGCAAAGGATATATAACATTCTGTAATACTAGAGGTTTGACTACGTTATGAGTTAACAACAGCTTACTACTGGAAAATAATTACCTTTGGTAAGATTACTTACAATTATTAAAAAATCAATTACATAAACATAAAATTAAATGAATTATCAAAATCCGTCACTTTAGTTTGGGGAAACCTAATAGAAGTTATTAGGTTTCCTTTGGAGAAAGGAAATCTGATTTGAAATTCTTTATGCATTATGTCAATAGAATATTTTCTTGTAGATTAATGAGAGGCTAGTTGTCTATAAAATTTTCACACCCATGGCTTATACCTGCCGAATCAGAGTACAAACTTTGCACCAAGCTTCTGGCTCTCCACTTCTCAAGGTAATCAATTTAATGAAAACACAGTTTATATTCTTTTGTACCAGTTCACTATAATTGGCAATGCAATAGGGTCAAACATTACTTTTTATTCCATTAACTTTCTTCCTAGACTACTAAAGAAGTAGATTAGGATTGTGAAATTCATGCCTTCCTACACTGTTTACACACATTTAGATGTTTCTACTTGAGTATGAAGTTACACTACTAGCATTCTTCCATCAAAATGAAAGACGTTAAGTTATATTTGAAAACGATGCTTTACATTCCCTCATGGAAATGAGACAAGCATGCTAAATTCCTAAATATAAAAATTACTGTCCCTAGGGTCTAAATAAAGAAAAATTAAGCATAAATTAGCTCATTCCATTTTCTGACAGTGGACATAAGAAATCTGCCTCTCAGGTATCTTTTAAGAATATAGCAGGAAGGCATGGCTGAATTCTGTGTTCTTTTTATCAGTAGCTTACACAGCCAGACATCATGCAAAAGTATAGTCTTCCTTTTAAAATGGCTATGATGGTATTCCAAGTTTTTTCATAGCATATCATTATTAAAAGTAAATACAAATAAATGAGAAAAAAAGAATACAGTAAGAAATAGTTTCTACTCTATAATTATATACAAAATAATGTATTTCTTGGTGGAGGGTGGGCACTATCCATGAGACGCAAGCAATGTGCCAGCTAAAACATGTTTATACCTTATACTCCACCATTATGGGGGTTCATAGAAAATTAAGCTTGAAATTAAATAAATAGTGGTTAGAAGATAACTATGTCAGAACAATTCAAACCTATTCAAATAACAAAATTGGTTCCTTTTCAGAGTAAGTAATATTCATGTGGTCTAACTGTGGAAACAGTCTAAATGAAGCCCTTAATAATATATAATTACACAAGATTTAAAAAATCATTAACATATTAAGAAATAAACTCAAAACAAATCCTTTCTAAACTTAATTTGAAAAGTAAAACTATAAAATCAAAGATTTTTAAAAAGCATATGATTAAAATAAAAATTTAAAGTCATTATAGTAAGACCAGAAAACTTTTTAAAAAATTGGGTGAATTCAAATAAGCGAAAAATCTTGGTGATTTTAATATGCCAAATATATTCATTCTGATTAAAAACCATTTCAAGGATCTTTCTATAGAACATTAATGACCAACTGAGTTTAATAAATGCCAGTGTTTTTTGACAGAGTTTTGGAAAATTAAATTGAGAAACTAAAATTTGGTGACCTTTTTGAAACAAAATTTTTTTTCCTTTCTCTATTCTGCCTAAAGGCAGCATTCAACACTGCCAAACGAAAATGAATATTAAAATTGATCTGAATGGTTTATACTCTAAAATGTTAATCTCTACAAGTAGAGGTAATTTCAAACAATATATGGTCATTTTAGAACAGTCTTAAGATTAAAACTTTGGAGTTCACTGATGAAACTTTTAGAAGTAGCCCAGGACCTACAACATGCTGGTAACTGCTACAGATGATTACAACAAAACCAATATTTTTACTGTGTTTAGTTGAAGATATAGAAAACCTACGCAGAATGTGGGATTTCTAAATCTTGAACCTTTCCGGTCTACCATTTAGACCGTATATGGAACAGTTTAAAACCTCAAAATTTCTCCTGCAGAAAATGATCAACCTATGAAAATATACTTATGTAGGAAACGACAATTCACACAAAATCGACAAATATATTCTCCCAAAAAGGTGTTACAGAAAAAATCTTTTGTTACCTGAGCAACATCTTCAAGTTTATTCCACTTTATCGACAGTAATAATTTTGGCAGTGACTGTGGAAAATTCTCTCGGCAGTCTTGTCGCAAAGTCCAAATAAGATCCATTTCATTCTCACACAGTTGAGACAAGGGATCCCTGTCCAAGATTTCCTTCAGTTCAACAAGAAACTTTTTTCCACCCCGACTCTAAGAAAGTAAAATTACTCATTACAGATTAGAATTGTGCAAACATCCCTGACAAACACTTAGCAAATTTATATGCAATGAATTTATAAACAATTTAGGAGCTTTAACATGTAAGATACTAAAAATATAATTCCTTAAAAAGACTAATAAAATGGATCTCACTTTTAAAGTTTTATTGCCAAATATAATATTTGTAAGCTAAGGATTAAGCAAAGAATTATTCTCAAAGTTCTGAAAAAGGAACTAGTGTACACGAGGAACACCATGTGCAAACACTAGGTGGCAGAATTGTGACTTGGATTTAAAAGGAGTCTTATTTGAACTAGATTTCTTCCTTCTTTAATTTTCAGTTTCTATTAAATTAATAAATAAACAACAACAAAATGAACCAAACAGATGATGTTTTAAAAAAAAGGAATAGGTGCTTTCTCAGCTTAGAGACATAAAACCACTTACATTAAGAATTGAATCTTGGCTAAACATGAAAAAACTATAATTATCCATTTTCCTTCCCAATCCTTATAATACACTAAAATAAAGAAAAACATTCATGCTATTTTTGGATCTAGACTGAATTGCACTAACATTAAAAGAAAGGGGTACATTTCCCCATACTTAAAGAAAAACTATACTTGTTAGGCCAAAACAAATTTTAAACACACACACACACACACACACACACACACACACACACACACAAAAACGAAAAAACTTATCTGACAAGATTCTGTAAGGATTTATATTTCATTATATTACTTTGTTCTTGACATTATTTTAACTGGGATTTGATATAGACATTAAAATAAAAAATCATATTACTAATTTTCTAAAGCAGTGAGATTTAAAATAGCATATGCATATGTAAGAAAGAATGGAGATAACTTGATTCTCTATGTAGAATATCTGAAAGGCTCAACAAAAACACTGCTGGAACTAATAAATAATTAAAGCAAGGTTGCAGGATACAAGGTCAATATACAAAAGTAAACTGATTTCCTACACATCAGAAACAAACAAATGGAATTTGAAATTAAAAACACAATATCACTTACATTAGCATCCAAAAATGTGAAAACTTAGGTATAAAACTAACAAAATATGTACAAGATCTATATGAGGAAAACTAGAGAACTCTAATGAATGAAATCAAAGAGGAACTAAATAAATGCAAGGTATTCCATGTTCATGGATGGGAAGACTCAATATTGTCAAAATGTCAGTTCCTTCCAACTTAATGAATAGATTCAATACAAAATTAATCAAAATCCAAGTAAGTTATTTTGTGGCTATGAACAAACTTATTCTAAAGTTTATATGGAGGAAAAAAAGACTCAGAATAGCCAACACAATATTGAAGAACAAAGTTAAAAGACTAACACCACCCAATTTATGTAAAAATAAACGTGAAACACAAAACTATAAAACTGAAGATAACATAGGAGAAAATCTAGATAACACTGGGTTTGGCAATGACTTTCTGCATATGATACCAAATGCATGAAAAGAACTGATAAGCTAGATATCATTAAATTTAAAATTATCTGCCTTGAAGACACCATCAAGAAAATGAAAAGATGGAAAGAAAATATTTGCAAGAAAAGTTATCTCATAATGGACTGATATTTCAAATATACAAAGAACTCTTAAAACTCAACAAGAAAATAAATCACCAGACTAAAATATGGTTCAAATACCTGAACAGACACTTCACCAAATAAGATACACAAATGGCTAATAAGCATATGAAAAGAAACAGGATATTTACTTACAGTAGGTCTGTAAAGTCTGATTTTGATTTACGATATTACAGGAGGTCTGCCCGTTTTTTGCAATATTTAACTTACCAGCAGTCTGCCTTTCTCTGACGTGAGTAATTTACACTGTGTTGTTTGCAGTAACAGATTTCACTTTAAGATGTAAGTGTAGGAGTTTTATTTTCAAACTGACTTTTCATAATCACTTTTCAGAGAAACTCAAGTCAATCTTGTGATAGCAGCAGCCTCAACCTTTTTGGCACCAGGGACTGGTGGTGCTCCTATGAGAATCTAATGCCTCATGAAAACATCATATGTCATCAGAGAAATGCAAGGTAAAACAGAAATGAGATACGACTACACATCGATTAGAATGGCCAAAATTCAGAACATTGACAACACCAAATGCTGCTGAGGACATGGAGCAACTCTCAATCATTGCTGGCAGAAATGCAAACTACTACAACTACTTAGAAAGATAATTTGGCTTTTTCTTACAAAAGTAAACATACTGTTACCTTACAATCTAGTAATCACGCTCCTTGATATTTAATAAAAGAAACTCAAAATTTACGTCCATACAAAAATGTGCACATGGATGTTCATAGCAGCTTTATACATTTGTCTAAACCCATAAAATACACAACACCAAGAATGAATTCTAAGGACAACTTTGGACTTTGGGTGATTATGATATGTCAGTGTAAGTTCAGTCTTGGTAACAAATGCACCATTCTAGTAAGTGATTAAGATAATAGGGGAAGCTAGGCATACATGGGAGCTGGGGATATGTGGAAAATCTCTGTACCTTCCTCTCAATTTTGTTGTGAACCTAAAATTGCTCTTAAAAAACAACAACAAAAAGAAAAACATTACACCAAGACTTTATGTATGATTGTTCAGTGCCTCACCTTAAAAAGAGCACTCTGTATCAAGGGTCCCCAGTCTCTGGGCTGCAGACCAGTACCAGTCCCTGGCCTGACAGTAACTGGGCAGCACAGCAGGAGGTGAGCGCTGGGGGACTGAGTGAAGCTTCATCTGTATTTGAAGCCTCTCTCCAGCACTAGCATCACTACCTCAGCTCAAGTTCAGATCATCAGTCATTAGATTCTCATAGGAGCACCACTCGCTGGTGCCAAAAAGGTTGGGGACTACTGATATTATGATTTGGGTATCTCTGAAAAGTGATCATGAAAAGTCAGTTTGAAAATAAAACTCCTACACTTATATCTTAAAGTGAAACCTGTTACTGCAAACAACACAGTATAAATTGTTCATGTCAGAGAAAGGCAGACTGCTGGTAAGTTAAATACTGCAAAAAGCAAGCAGACCTCCTGTAATATCGTAAATCAAAATCAGACTTTACAGATCTACTGTAAATATCCTGAATAGCTACAAGTAAACTAAGAGGGGAATACAGGGGGGTTGCTGTATAATTGTACTGTGATTGTTTACTGAGCTATAAAGAGACAGCACTGAATAAGGCCAAGATAAAAAAAAAAAAAAAACCTACCAGAAATATGGCAGGAAGCCCAACAAAACATAGAATCGTACATTCTTTTACAAAACCCAGAATAATTAGTACTGAAAAATTACGTTGTACAATGTAATTGGTGAACTTACACTTATGTTCAAATGCTTGAACTAAAATAATGGAAAATAATGATTGACGGCAATGAAAATTAACACCCATATTCTCTCCTTTTCTTTGTCTAGATTTTTCAAAATCATACACATAATAATGACTACTGACCAAAATAAAACAAAATTATATATCTTGCTATAAGCATGCTGAGAAAAAAGACTGTCTCTTTCCCCTTCTCTATGGGGTGGGCTAGAAAACTCATCTGTCATGTTCAGAGGGACTGCAGACTCTAAT